AGAAAAAAAAGGTCTACATGATCTGTCTGATGCCGCTCGCGCAGGGCAGCGCGCTCACCGAGAGCTGCGGCGGCGCGTCGCGCGCGCGCGTCGCGAAGCCCGCGAAGCGCTCGGCGCGCGAGGCGCTGCTCGCGCGCAAGGCACGCCTACGCCGCAAGGGCGTCGCAGTGCGCGCGGACTCGAAGTACTCGGGGCGTCGCCGGCCGGACCGCTTCTAGCTGTTGCGGATTTGCGCAATAGACAAAACGCATTATTTTCAGTTTCAGCAGAAGCACGATGGTACGTTCCCGCCGCAGCGCCGCAGAACTCGACCCAGCCGAAAAGGCGCACGTTTAAGATCGCCACCTACCGCGGCGTCCCGGTTGAAGAGTTGCTCGGCAAGAGTATGCAGGAGTTGGCGCCGATGCTGCCGTGCCGCATCCGCCGCAAAATCACGCGCGGCAACATCAACGCGGTCAAGCTAGAGCGCTTCCTGAACAAGTTGCGCCGCGCGAAGGAGGAGTGTCCGACCGGCGCGAAGCCGAAGCCGGTCCGCACGCACTACCGCTCGATGTTCGTGCTGCCCGAGATGGTCGGCAGCGTCATTGCGGTGCACAACGGCAAGGTCTTCATGGTCGTCGAGATCAAGCCGGACATGATTGGGCACTACCTCGGCGAGTTCGCGATCACGTACAAGCCGGTCACGCACGGCAAGTACGGCGCGACGATGAGCAAGGTGACGAACTCGAAGTTCTACCGCGCGAACTATTAGTCGAAATTGTTTTGTAAATTTCTATTCTTCGTCGCGCAGAGATGTCCGAGCCGCGCAGCGAGGCTGCGCGTGCAGCGAGCGAGAGTTCGTTCGACTGGTGCGGCGCGTCGCCTGACGCGCCGGCGGTGCCCGAGTCCGCGCCGCCGGCCGCGCCGCCGGCCGCGCCGGAGCTGGAGGCTGCGCCTGCGGAGCCGTATTACACGGAGGTCGGCGCACTGACGGGCGAGCCGGCGCCGGTCGCGGCGCCCGCGCCGCTCTGCGGCGCGGCGGAGGTGCTGCTAGTGCTCACTTCGCTGCAGGCGGACACGCTCACGTACTTCCGCTGCCTGAACCTGAAGCATCTGCTGAAGTGCCACTGCGTGCGCTTCTTCGAAGTGGACCTGAACCAGGACAGCGTCGCGGCGCTGCGGCTGCAGAACAACGAACTGCTGCAGCAGCTGCAGGCGGTCTCGGAGAGCGTGGTGCCGGAGCTCATCGTGGACGGCGTCTCGCTCGGAAGCTTCGAGAGTGTCGTGGAGCTCGAGAACGAGAACCTGCTCGGCGCGCTGCTCGCGCGCTCGCTCTGCAGCATGTGCTTCGCGGCGCGGAACGGCGCGGTGTGCGCAAGCTGCGGGCACCACTTTCGCTGCTTCGTGGACGCCGCGCTCGCGGAGCACCTGGTCGTTTACGAGCCGGACGCGCGCGCGATCGACGCGGACGCAATCGCCGCCGCCGTGCTTCGCCGCGCGTCGCCTGCGCGGCCTAGCGCGGCAGAAGGCGCTCGCTGAGCGCGCTGCGGCCGGCGAACGCAAAGGCGGCAACTTCGCCGCATCTTCGCTGCAACTGGCGCCGTAACTTCGTCTCAATCTCGCCGAAACTGGCGCCGTAAATCCGTCGCAATTTCGCTGCATCTGTGCAAGCGTCTTCTGCTGCGCTAAGGAGTTCCCGGAGTGCGTAGCGACCCGGCGAACGCGGCCAACTGCCGCAGCAACTTCGCGGCGGCCGCGCGACGCAGCGCGGGCGAGAGCCCTAAGGCGGCCAAATGCTCGCTGGCGGCCGCTTGCAACGCCTCCGGCGTCGCGTCGACGTCCGCCGCGAGCGCGGCGGCCAGCAGCGCCTCGACCTTGCCGAGGTCCGCTGGCGCGCAGGCCGGCCGCAGCACGAACGCCGAGACGAAACGCCGCACGCAGGGCAGGTGCCGCGCGTTCTGCGCCGCGAGCTTCTGCGCGAAGAGCGCGTCGAGCTCCGTCAAGCCCGTCGGCTGCGAGACCGCCAGCGGTGCGAACTCGTCGAGCTCCGCGAACAGCGCAAACGCGAACGCCACGCGCTCGAGTAACCGCTGCGCGCCGCCGGCCGCGGGCGCGGCCGCGCAGTAGTGCCGCCAGCGCGCGTCGAACGCGCTGTGCGCGTTGAAGCGGCACTGCAACGCGCGGTCCGCGAGCTGCGGCTCCAGCCGCAGCGCCGTCGCGCTCAGCAGCACCACGCGCAGCTGCCGCGCGCGCATCGCGTTTAGCACCGCGATCTGCAGTGGCGTGCGCGCCAGATTGAAGTTGTTCAGCACGCACACGTCGCGCGGCTGCGTCGTCTCCAGCGCCGCGAGCAGCTGCGCGTTGCAGCTGCGGTCGCCGACCGAGAACACGTGCAGCCGCGCGCCCGCCTCGCGGAACAGCGGCGCGAAGAACTTCTCGCTGGTCGTCCCGACGAAGTGTTCGAACGCCAGAGCCACCTCCGCGCCGAGCACAGCGTCCGCCAGGAACCGCACCGCGCCGCGCAACTCGCCGCCGGCGAACTCCGCGTCCAGCGCGCGCGCGAGCGTCGCCAGCGCCGTCGGCGCGTCCACTTCGGCCGGCTCCGTGTCCGACTCCGTGTCCGCCGCGCCGCGCAACGGCAACTGCTCCAGCGGCGGCGCGCCGCTCAGGCTTGCGAGCTTCAGACGCAGCTCAAAGCGCTGCGCCTCGTCCGCGCAGAACACGCCCGCGGCGCTTGCGAATTTGCGGAAGTAGCTGCGCCGCACGTCGCCCGTCGCGGTCGCGACTTCCGGGTCTGCGAAGCTCAGCTCGAGCAGCCGCAGCGTCGTGCACGCGAGCGCGCTGCTGAACCCGTAGCGCGCTCCCACGAACGCAAACGCGTCGTAGATCTGCGCCAACAAGCTGCCGAACTGCTGCTGCACGCCCGCGAGCTGCGCCGACAGCGCCGAAATCTGCGCGGCCGCCGCGTCGTAGCGCTGCTGCGCCGCAGCCTTCGCGCGGACCAGCTCCATCGCGCGCGCGTACGCCTCCGCGCCGAGCAGCGCCGCGACGTCCGTCGAGTTCAGGAAGCGCAACATGCTCTCCTCCGTCGCGACGATCGCGCCGTGGCAGACCGCCTCAGACGCAACGTGCTCGCGCAGCTGCGCGAGCACGTCCGCCGCCCGCGCGTCCAGCGTGACCTTGCGCAGTGCCGCGCGCAAATACTTCTTGCTCCGCGCGTACTGCACGAGGTTCACGCGACTGCTCACGTCCGCCTGCTGCGCAAACTGCGGCGCCGCGGTCGTCGCGAAGACCAGAAAGAACTGTGCGTTGAACGGCACCGGCTCGTTGTTGATGTTCAGCACTTCTTCGCCTTCGCGCGTCACTTCGACCTCGTGGTTCAGCACGTTGTACAGCATCGGCGGCAACTCGACCGGGTCGCTGACCACCAGCGTGTAGCCGAGCTGCACCGCGCGCACTAGCTCCGGCACGAACTCCGGACTGAGCATGCTCACGCACACCGCCGCGCCGCCGCGCCGCTGCCGCAGCGCCTCGATGTGCGGCTCGAGACTCTGCTGCTCCGAGGCCAGCAGCGGGTAGCGCGCGCTGTGCAACAGAATCACCTCGTTCTGCAGCAGCAGCGGGTCCGCCGCGCCCTCCGCTTCGGCGGCGCGCGGACGCGCGCCCGCCTCGCCCGCGCGCAGCACCGCGACGAGCTCGTCCAAGTTGCCGCAGGTCACCTCCGCGCCGCGCGCTTGCAGGAACGCGAAGAGCGCCGCGAAGAGTTCTTCGCGCTGCTGCAAATCGAAGCCGCCAAAGAAGCTCACGAAGAACGCCGCGAGCACGCTGTTTCCGATCAAGCTGTGCAGCACGCGCATCACGGCGGCGTGGCTGCTGCGCCACACGTCGAGCTCCTTGTTCAGCTCGCGCGCGAGCGCCGCGACGCGCTCAAACGCCTCGCGCTTCTGCGCAATGACCAGCTCGAGCTTCGCCGCCTGCTCGACCTTCTGCTTGTACACGCCCTGCAGCTCCGCCTTCTCCGCAGTGCGCGCTGCGACCAGCGCCTTGCCCTCCGCAATCTGCTGCGAGTGCGTCGCCTGCAGCGCGCGGTTCTGCGCGAGCGACGCGTCCAGCGCGCGCAGCCGCGCGCTGATCGCGAGCGCCGCGCCGAAGCTGCGGATCCAGCCGAACAGACTGAGCGTGACCACGCCCGCCGCCGCCGCGCGCGCCTCGTCGACGCGCGCGCGCTCGAGCTCCGCGGCGACCGTCGCCGCGACCGTCGGACTGACGTCCGCTACCTGCAACGCCTTCAACCGCGCCGTGAAGCCCGACGCGATGACCTGCCGCACACTCGCCCACTCGCGCAGCTGCTCCTCGCCGTTCAGCAGTTGCACCGCGAGCGCGACGATCAGCTGGATCGTCTCCGACGGCGTCTTCAGCGTCTTCACGTTTTCAATTTCATTGTAGTTAGCGCTGACCAGCTCCTTTGCGACGTCCAGTTGCTGCGCGATCACGCCGCGCTCCTCCGTCGCGACGCGGGCGTCCGCCTCGATCTGCAGCAGCAGCTGCTCGCTCTCGCGCACCAGCTCCTCAGTCCTGCGCTTCTCTTCAATTATCTGCGCCTGCGCAGCCTCCATCTCGCGCAACTTCTCGGTGGCTTCCGCGTGCTGCGCCTGCAGCTGCGCCTTGCTGTCCTCGAGCTCCTGCGTCGACAGCGCGAGCTGCGCGTTCAGCTGCGACAGCTTCCCGAGCCCCTCGGTCAAAATTCCGAACCGCGCGCGGTACTTCTTCACCGCGTGCCGCAGCACGCGCGTAAACACCGCCAGGCAGTCGATGAAGTGCCGCGGATTCAGCTGCACGCCCGCGAGCTTTTGGAACTCGGCAAACAGCTCCGTAAAGCACGCAACCGTCTGCTCGAGCCCCGCGCACCGCTCGGTTACCGCGAGCACCTCCGCAACCACTTCGTCGCGGCCCAAGTACTTCTGCGTGATCTCTCGCAGCCCGCTCGCGCTCCACTGGTCGAAGCACTGCACGAAACAGCGGTTGAATAGCGCGGAGCTCGTCTGCTTGCGGTTCTGGTAGAACGCGTTGCTCGGGTTCATCGTGAACACGATGCTCAAGTTCTGCTGCACGTTCGCCGTGACGAGGTCCAGCGTATCCGCGTCCTTCAAGCCGCTCAGTTCCGGCCACGACGCGCGACAATCGAGCAGCAGCTGCGTCCGCGCGTCGCCCTCGAACAGCCCCATAACCGTGCCGGACGTCAGCAGCGAGTTGATCTTCTCGGTGCAGTTCGTGTCGAACAAATTGATCTCCTCGAGCAGAAAACAGACCTTCTGCCGCTGCACGCCGCAAAGCCGCACGAGGTGCTTGATCGTCTCGGTAAACTCCGCGTCGTTGAACTCGAACATCGGCTTCAACTCGATGATCTTGCGGTCCAGCATGTGGCACGCCAGCCGCGTCAGTAGCGTCTTGCCCGCGCCACTCGCGCCGATGAAAATCAGGTGCGACTGCGGCACGCTCAAGATCTGGTAAATGTTGACCAGCTTCGCCAAGCACTCGCGAAACAGCACGAGATGCAGGTTCGGGTGCTTGCGCTGGAAGCTCTCCACCGCAGCGCTCAACTTTTCCTGGATCTCCTCGGCGCCGAACAGCCGCGTCTGCCCGTCGAGCGTGAGGAAGAAGCTGTTCTCGAAGTCCAGCTCCACGCCGAACACGCGCCGCAGCTCGACCATCGCTTCGCGCGCCTCCGCCGGCTCCTGCAACTTGTCGACGAAGAGCCGCTGGGCAATCAGCGCAGCCAGCGCAAACAGCGCGCTGCGGTTCTGCGCAAAGTCTGCGCCGAAAACGTCCGCGCGAGCCGACCACTCGCGCAACATGCTGGTCCAGCGCGAAAGGTCGCGCGAGCTGTACACGTAGTGCGCGCGCTTCTGCGCGAACCTCTCCGCGTTCCACCGGTAAAACTCCACCATCGCGACGGTCAGCTGCTGCGCCACCGGCTCGCGCGGCGCGAACAAGCGCCCTTGCGCGGCCAACGCGCCGACGATCTCCCCGTTGTACGTCGCGTATATGTCCGTGAGCTCCGCCGCGTTCAGCGCGCGCATCGGCGCGAAACTCGCCTGGCCGTACAACGCCGCAGGCAGCGGCGCGCGGCCCGCTGTGCGGCTCGGGTTGCAGCTCGCGCAGACCGCCACGCCCTGCACGCTGACGGCCTCCCAGCGCGCGGCAGCGAGGTTCAGGCGGTAAAACACGCCGGTCGTGACGAGCGCCTCGAGCAGCGTGACGGCCGAGTTCGCGCCGTTCCCGCCGAGCTTCGGCAAGTTGATCTCGTCGAAGTACAAAACGACGCGCTTGCCTGGCGACTTCGGTCGCATCACCAAGCCGCCCTCGCTCTTTTGGAACTCGCACACGAAGCTCAGAAACTGCAACACGTCGCTCGCCTCGGTCTCGCGATTCATGCTGTAAGTCTCCAGCACGTACTGCTGCGACTGGCTGCTCAAGTGGTGGTCGACCAGCAGCGTCTTGCCGCAGCCCGGCGGCCCGCACATGAGCAGAAACTTGCGCAGCGCCAACGCCTTGTCAATCAAATACGTGCCGAACCGGAACCGGTCGGTGACGACGACGCTGCCGAAGCGCGCGTTCCGAATCGTACTCTCGCCGCCGTCGCCGCCGGTCCTCGCAAACGCCAAATTGAACAACCGCGCGAGCAGCACTTCGTCGCTCCGCGGCGCAGACGGCGTAACCTTCAGCTTCGCCAAGAGCAACTCTTCGAGCCGCAGCGTCTCGGAGAGCGACTCGACCGCTGCCAGCGCAGAGAACAGCAAGAACGCCGCGAACAACTCGCGCAGCCGCGCCACGTCGTACGCGTGGTAGTTGCTGCCGAAAACCGGGTCGGAGTTCCTCGCGACCGGTTGGCAGTGGTTCAGGAAATTGTGCGCAAACTCGCTGAATCCGTACGCAACCATTGGCGCCAGCTCCGGCTGCACCTCGGCCGCACTTTGCCACGCGTAGAACGCCGACTCAACGGCCGCCTGGTCGCAAACGCAGTCGAGGAACGGCTGGATGCGCGCCGCGTGCGCAGCAAACGCCGCCTCGCTCCCCGCGTCGGCCATCCCGCGCACGAGCTTGCCGTCCGCGCTGAGCCCAAGCGTGCGCCGACACAGTGCCGAGTAGCTGTAGAGCGGGTGTGTCAGCCGCATGTAGCCGCAACGCGAAAGCGTCGCCTTGGTCAGCTGCGCCGAAGACTGCACCTCGAAGACGAGCTTGACGCCGGGCGGAACGCTGATTCGCTCGCCGTTGCTGAGCGTCAACGTGCGGCTGTCGTCCAGCAAGCTGTTGAAGTCTTCCACCCACTCCGACGACACGTCGCCCGCGAAGCAGATCAGGCAAAACTTGCGCGCCGGGTCGCCGCGCAAGTACTCCAGCGCCTCGTGCAGCACGCCGTTGAAGAACCCGTCGATCCAGCGGAAAGTGGTCGGATCGGTGTAGCCTAGCAGCTGCGGCTTCGTGAACATGTTGTGCGCGAAGCGAAAAACTTTGCAGCCTGGCAGCACCGCGCCCGCCACGTCGATCAGCGCAGACTTGCCCGCGCCCGCGAGGCCCTCGAGAATCAACCCGTTTTTCAGCTTCAACAGCTCGACGCACTGCACCAGCGCCGTGCGAAACTCCGCGCCACACTCGAACTGCCGCTCGCCGCAGTAGCTGTTTATCGCTTCCGCGTACTCAGCGCACCAGTTCTTCTCTCCAAACGCGTCGGCGCGCAGATCCGGCAGCTTCGGGTTTGCAGCCGCCAGCGCGCTGCGCAGCACGTCGCTAAAAACGCACAAGTCCTGCCGCTCGAGCGACGGCGCAATCAGAATCTCTAGCGCGCGAGCGCAAGCGAGCATCTCGCGCGTCTCCGCGTCAGCGCCGGGCGAGAGCGCTACGTACGCCGCAGCCGAGCGGACGACAGTTTTTATGAAGCGCAGCGAGAAGTCCAACCGCTCGCAGTCGACCGCGCTGCCCTGCAGCGTCTCCACAAACGTCGCGATCAAGCGGTAAATCTGGCCGCCGTGCTTGAACGAGTTGACGCTGAGCAGCGTCGATACGATGCTGTCCTCGCTGTTTTTCTCGATGTCGAGCTGCCGGAACACCAGCGAGACGTTGACCGGCAGCATCGCGCGCGCGAGGTAGTGCAAATTCATCGTGACGATAATGCTACTGGCGTTACTGCGAATGAGTTCTTCGAGCGCAGCGAGCGCCTCGTAGCTGATGCGGTTGAACTCGTCAAAGCAAGCCAAATGGTTCAGTTGCAGCGTTGCGGCCAGCAAGTTGCTGAGGTCGTTAGTGCTGAACAAGTCGCTGCAGTTAAACACAAGAATGTCGGTTCCGTTGAGGAACGCCCATAACTTGGCAGTCTCCGTTTTGCCCGTGCCTGCGGGCCCGACGAACGCCGTGGCGAAGTCGCTGGCCGAAGTGCAGAAAAGAAACACGAGCGCCTGCAGCGTTTCTGCCGTAAACACCAACAACTCGGGACAGCCGAGAAACGCATTCTCGCAACGCCGCTTGTACTGACAGCACACGAGGAAAATCTCGAGCGCGCCAAAGCTCGAGCGCTCGACGCGCGCCGAGATGATATGTGGGCACACGCTCTGCTTCTCTTCCGAGTCGCGAGCCGCGCGCATCGCCGCGAGCGCCCCGCTGCAATAGTGCAGCAGCACCAGCATGTTCTGTCGACGCAACGCGAGCAGCGGGTCGCCTTTGCACTGGAAGTCCTGCAACTGTGCACTGAGCTGCACGAAGAAGTCGCTCAGGTTAGCCATGAGTTTCTCGTCCGCGACGCGGAACACCGTGTCCGCGGCGAAGTTCTCCCGTTCGAAAGTAAATTCGTAGTAGTCGTTGAGCAGCGCGAGCAGCGCAAACATCGCGTTCTGGAAAAGCGAGTTCATCAAAAACGCCGCGCAGTCGACTGCGTCCGCGCGCGCGCAGCGCTGCTGAAACTCGCCAAAAAACTCTTGCGTCACCAACCCCATTTCGCGAGCGACGTGACGCTGAAACGCGTCAAAAACGTCTTGCTCGCCGCCCGATTCGTAGGTGAACGGCGTCTTGAAATGCAGCGTTTCAAGGTTTGCCGAGTGCACCGCCTCAATGCTCTCCCCGCTGTAAGAGACAGCGCGGAAACTAGTGAACAATGCGTCTACGTACTGCGCAAGACACGCGAGCTGCGACCGGATGCCCAACAAATCCATAAGCGCGCGGTCGTTGATGAAGTTGAAACGCGGCTGCCGCTCGCGCTTCTGCCGCAACAATGTATTGATCGCACGCTCCACGCGCTGCAGCTTGTGCAGGTTCTCCTCGATTGCGTCAGCCTGCTGCAGTAGTGTCGACACCGAAAGCCGCGCCCCGGCGCGCGTCAGCGCAGAGAAGAAGCACAACGCCTTGTCGAAGCTGTCTGCGAACTCGCTGGTTAGCTCGTTGTTCACGAAGAAGTTGCGCAAGTTCAGCACCAGGCGCTGCATCTCGACCAAATGCTGATTGTTTTGCAGCGCTACAGAAATCTGCTGCGCCCAAAGCGTCGAGTCCTGCTCAATTTCACTCGCATACTGCGACCGCATCGTAGCGGTGATATCGTTGCTGCACTTGTACAGCGCGTCGCTGACCGCCGGCATGTTCGCGAAATAGTCCAGCTCGCCGCTAGGGTGCGGTTTCACTTCGTACACCAGCTTCTTCCAGTCCTCCTTAATCTGCGCGACCAGATTGAACAAAGTCTGCAGCTCTTGCTGCCTGCGAATTTGATCCTTAAGTTGCGCTCGATGCGATACGCAAGCCAGTACAGTCAGACTCGGAACGTTCCCGGTTGCCTGCAAAGCCGGCTTTGCGTCGCCTGCAGCCGTTACCGCAGTCAGCGGAACGCGTTTTGCGGCTGATGCTAGGTAGCGCGAAATCAAGCGATCAAGCTTGCTTTCATCGCCCAGTTGGCCCCCGGGTTGCGCGGCAGACGCACACTGAACCAGCTCACCGCGCTGCTTGTCGTTACGACTTGCGTTACTTAGGTAGTCTAGAACGCTCGCAACTTCCGCGTTGTTTAGGCAGCGACAGAGCTCCTGAATGTCGTCGAGCCTGCCGCCGAGCCTGCTCGCTTGCGATTCGATGCTGCGAAGCGCTTTCACGTATTGCGCAGCAGTCACCGTGAACGCATCGGCAGATAGCAGGGCGGCGAGCTGCGCACGCGCCTCCTCTTGCGCAATTTTCTGCTGCCTGCGGGCTCCGGCTGTCTGCACAAAAGCGCGAAGCACGGCCAACTCTGCGGTCATCCACGCGAGGTTCGCGGCATCTGTTAAGCGCAGCAAATCTTCTATGGCGGCCGCAATGCACTCATCTTCGTCGCGCGCTGGAAAGCCATATTCTTCACGCAACACGCTTAGTAGCTGGTCCGCCATCGACTCGCTCAGAAACAGTTTCGCGTGTTGCTGCGCCTCTTCGCTCAAGTCGCCGCACTCTGCGGGCGACAACGGCACAATCTTAGCTGCGATCTGTTGATTGAACTGCGAGGAAAACTCGCGAGAGGTAAGCGAAAGCAGCTGCTGCTCGTTCGCGCCGATCTCGACGTAGCTGTAAAGCGAGACCAGCATGTTTCGCACGTACGCGCTGCGTAGTCTGTCGAGCTCAGCATGCTTCGCGTCGTATTCCGCTAGTGCAGCTTGCACCGCGTTGTGCTGCGCTCTGAGCTCTGCAAACTGCTGGCACGGCACCCGTTCCAGCACATTGAGAACGAGCGATCGCCGCGTGTAAAAGTCGGCCAGCGAACTCAGCCGGAAGTTGTAGCGCAGCGCGTAAAGAGCTCTTACATGGTGGTCCGCGGCCTGCAGCTCGACGCGCGCCTTTTCCCGAAGCGCACTGCTCACGTAAGTGAGCTTCGCGCTGAGCGATGAGCGCAGTGCCTTTACAAAGCTCTGAACGTCCACCGTCGCGTTGAAAGCTGTGAGCCTGCCCTCTAAATTTATGAGCAACCTGTTGTCTGCCGCGACGTGCATCGCGTCGAGCCGCTCGCGAATTCTAGTGAGCGTTTCAAACGCCGTTGAGATTTCCGCCAGCGACGCACGGTCGTCTGCGACTAACTTACAGTTGAAGCTGTCAGTGCGCAACGTATGAAGCTCCTCTAAGAACTTCGCGAGAAATACGGTGTACTGCTCGATCAGCGCGAAGCAGTCTCGAAAGAGCGCAGTCTGCTCCTCGTCGAGCTCGAACTCGGCACCGACGGGCGCAAATCCTGGCTCGCCGAGCACGTTGCAGTAGCTGAAGAGCAGGTCATAATAGTAAGCGTTGTAGTTCCAGATGAGCTCGTCTAGCGCGGTGTCCTCGTAGACGCGGATCGGTTCGGAATAGGCGGTTGATGCGAAACGCGACAGAAAAGAGCGCAAATGAAGCGTCACCAGCGTTGAAAACTTCGACCGCAGCGCGGAGACGACGTAGTCCTTGACCTCTCTACTCGCAAAATTGAGCAAACTGTCTTGCAGCAACGCGAAGTCGCCAGAGTTGATAAGGTCTACCAATTTGCGCTTCATGTTGACGGCCTGGCGCTTCGCAGAATAAAGCTGCGCCACAAGAGCGCTGAAGCGCTGCACGAGCGTCGCGGCCTCGGAGCTCTCGATCGGCAATGTGCGCAGCGCCACAAGCGTCTCAGAAAGCTGCTCGTAAGTGCTGCTCAGCGCGCGTAGCAGGAGCGGCGCGTTCTCGTCAGCATCGCTTGCGAGATCATCCTCGAAGCGCTGCAGCGCGCTGCACGCGTCCGCGAAAAAGCACACGTTGTTGTAATGCGCGGCTGTGAGCAGCAGCGAGCTGCGGAGACGCGTGCTGAGCGAGAACGCGCTCTTGAACTCGTCGTTCTCCGAGTAGATTGCTCGGTGGTTGATCAGCCAGCGCGCAAGCGCGAAGTCATGCGGCGACGCGGGCTGCAACTGCGCGCGCGCAAGCTTGGTCGCGTCGAGCGTGAAAAAACTCGCCTTATGCAGTTCGCGTGCAACAATTCCCTTCGCTAGTGTCACGAGCTGTTCGGCAGGGCGGTACAGTTTCTTGTTCAAGCAATCGATCAACGTGTTGATCTCTTGAAAGACCGGGAGCAGCGGCTCGTAGCCGCGCCACTCAGATCCGAAAAAGAGCACGCAGTCAGCAGAGAGCTCGAGCAGCCTAATAAGCTGGTTGCGCTTGGAGAGCCGCTCAGCGTGCGGCTCAGGGTCGGCCCGCTCGCCGAGCACACTTAATGACTTCAGTAGCTTGCGAAAGTAGTCGAGCACGAGCTGCTCTTTGCCGAAAAGCATCGCGCCGAAGTCGCGGTAGAGGTGAGTGACGCGCCGCAGCCGCACTAGCGCCAACGAGGTCTGTGCGGAAGCGGAAATATACTTGTCGAGTGCGCGGTTCACTTCGGCGACGAGCCGCTTGCAGACGAGTTTCGACTGGTGCCGAAACTCAGTAAGTGCCTTGAGTTCGGCTTCGCAAAGCTGCAGCAGCGCGTCGATCGAGATCTGGTGCGCCGCGTACCGCTCGAAGTGGAAGAGGAAGGATGTGTTCGAAGTGCCGTCTTTGTGGGTCGGCTGCGAGTGCGCAAGAAAGCGGTACTGCGAAGTCAACTCGCCGAGCTCGTGCTTAAAACCACTCTCGGCTTGCGGGTCGATCTGCGCGAGCTTGCCAATGTAGCGGCAGTGCGTGTTGATGACAAGAAAAGTTTTCTCCTCCAGACTGAGCAGCTCACGGACGGCAGAGATGACGGAGAGCTTCAACTGCTTAAAGCCGAGCAACAGCATGTTCACGTTTGACCAAAACTGCCCAAGCGCCGCGAAATGTGTCGTGAGATACTCCCGTCTGTGCTGAAAGTCAAACAACGGGAAAAGAAGCCGCAACAGCCGCGAGAGCAAGTCGGTCGCAATCGCCGTGAGCACGTTGTGGCTCCACGCGCAAAGCAGCTCGTCGTTCTCGGCGATCAACTTGAAAAGTGGCTCGAGCGTTTTCAGCAGCCGTGCGCTGTCGGCGCTGAGCGACTCGAGCTGCATCGCCGCAAAAATCTGTTGTGCCGACTGCGCGGCGGAGCTGATGAGCCGCGCGTGCGCCGCAAACCTCAGCAGCGCCGCGGGCTCAACGCGCGAGTGCGTGGCAGGGTCCAGTGAGCGCAGCGCCAAGACGCAAACCTGCACGTACAAATTGAGTTCGCATTCCTGCGCCCAATCTGAAAGTCGCTTATTCAGCGAAGCGGCATAGCCGAGCAACTCGTCGAGCGTCACGCATTCCGATTGCAAATGGACCAAGTCGAAGACGTAGCTCTTCCAGGTCGCGCCGCAAAAGAGAACAGCATGCGCAGAAACTTGGTCCGCGAGCAACTGCGCAGCGACCTGGTTATTGAGTTTCTCGCTCGCGGCGGCAGAGTCGCGGCTGGTCGACTGCGGCACCTCGAGCAGAGCGGCGTCGACGCGCTGGCGCAGCTCGGACTCGACGACCGGGCCCCAGGTGCGCTCCGCCGATGTGCTCGCCTTGTTCCGCAACAGCCGGGCGAGATTCTCGACGTCCGCGCGCGGCACGTGCGAAAACTGCGGATCCGTCGCGACCACGTGCGTGAGCAGCACGCGCAGCGCGTCGAGCAGCGTTTCCGCGTCGCTTTCCTGCGTCGTCGCGGAGGAGCTCAGAAACAGCGTGCAGAGCCGACCCGACTGCGTTCTGCAGCTGACGAAAAGTCGCGCAGCCGCGTGTCGCGGAAGCTCCGGGCCGAACGCGCAGACGCCGCGCGCGTTCACGACGCCGACGAGCGCGCGCGGCTGCGCAGAGGTCGCAAACTCAGTGAACGCTTCTACGTTTTCGACGGCGCTGACGTCGAACGCTCGTCGGTAAAACTCAAGCAGCTCGTCGGCGTGATCAGGCATGGCGCCGCGCGAAAAGCAAATATAGAAAACCAAAAATGCGCGCCGGCGGGCTGATGGGGCGGCGCCCGTCAGGCCGCGTCGACCCGTTGGAACACGTTGGCGCGCACTTCCTTGAGCAGGCCCTGGCTCGCCAGCTTGCTGACCGCGACAGCAACGACGTCTGGCGCAAAGCTGAGCGCGCGCAGGTCGCGCACAAGCGCTGAGCGACCGATTTTGCCGCCGATGGGCAGCCGCAACAGCAGCGCGTCGACGCAGCCGGCGAGCTGCGCCTTCAGCTCGGGCGGCAGCAAGAACTCGTCGATCGCGTGCTGCGCGCTGGTGGCGACGGTGCTCAGCTTGAACAGCATAATCGCCTCGTCGACGTGCTCTTGGCGCACCGCGTTCGAAAGCGATATCTTTGCGAGCGCTTCGGCGATGCGGATGATCGACTCGAGCTGCCGCACGGTGATCGGGATCGCCGTAGGACCGCGCAACTTCTTCACGCGCCGCGCGTCCTCGCGGATCTGCACGTAGAAGTTCTCGAGCACTTTCGCGGCCTCTGCGCCCATGACGGGCCGGCAGTTCGTCATGCAAAAGCGGATGTAGTTCTTGAGCTCTTCCGGCGAGAAGTGCGCGCCACGCGCTTGCTGCGTCTGCGCGTGGCGCGTGCTGTCGCCGACACGATGCAGGTTGAACACGTGGCGCGCAATCACGTTGTCGAGCTGCGCGTTGCGCGCGTCCTTGACCAGCCAGATGCAGTCGAAGCGCGAGAGAATGGTGGCCTCGAAGTTGTGCTGCGCGCTGACCTCCTGCGTGGGGTCGTAGGAACCGAAGGTCGGGTTCGCGGCGGCGAGCACCGCGCACCGCGTCTTGAGCATCGCGTTGATGCCTGCCTTCGTGATGCTGATCGTCTGCTGCTCCATCGCTTCGTGGATGGCTACGCGGTCGACGTCGCGCATCTTGTCGAACTCATCGAGACACACGATCCCGCCGTCTGCGAGCACCATCGCGCCGCCCTCGAGCGCGTAGCAGCCTTGTTGGTCGCGGATCAGCGCGGCGGTGAGCCCCGCCGCGCTAGAGCCTTTGCCGGACGTGTACACGCTGACCGGCGCGGCGAGCGCGGCGAACTTCAGCAGTTGCGACTTCGCGGTGGACGGGTCGCCGAGCAGCAGCACGTGAATGTTTCCGCGTGTGGTCGAGCCGTCCGCAAGCGTCTTGCGACTGCCGCCGAAGAGAAGGCACGCAATCGACTTCTTGAGCTGCTCGTGGCCTTGGATCGAAGGAGCGATCGAGTCGAAAATCTTCTGCAGGAAGCCCGGCTGGCTGGCCAAGTACTTCATCTGCTCGACCAGCGAGTGGTCGATCGCTTTCTGCACGCTCGCCAGTACCGAGAGCTTCTCGACGCCGAGCGCGTGCAGGTACACTTTGCGCTCCTCCGCCGCGAGCTCCGCGCTGTCGGACGAGAAGGTGTAGACGCCGGTGACGCGCAGGCGCGTGCCCGCGATCACGCGTCCGACGAAGTTGTTGCTGAGCACCACGACCTTGTGCCCGGGCAAGTCGCCGACCTGCACGTTGTCCGGCAGCTCCTGCAGCTTCAGATGCTGCACGTCGCAGAACTGCGAGTCTTCGTTCACGACCTCGAACGGGTCGTAGCCGCAGTCCTTCTCCGCGTCCGCAGTCGGCGCGTGCGGGTCCGCGAGGCTGCCCGCGTCGCAGCTCTTCGGTGTCTGCGTGGCCACTTTCCAGGGCGGCAGCCGCAGCACGCGTTGCGCGCGGCAACTGCGGCAGCGCAGCACGATCAGACTCGGCTTCATGAACGGCTTGCCGACGTTAATGCTGATGCCTTCGACGACGACCAACTTGTCGATCAGCGCGCTGTCGACTTCGCGCACCTTTAGCGCGGGGTCCGTCGAGACCAGCTCGACGAAGACGCCCGCTAGACTCGCTCGGTACTTCAGCGCGTCCGCGGACTTGCCAAGCAAGGCCAAGTAGTTGGTCCCGACGAGGCTCGCGACGAACGCCTCGTTCAGCTCCGCGAGCAGCTCCGCAGGCAGCGGCAGCCGCGCCATGTGGCACAGCGTGAGCACGTCCTTGACCGCCTCGCCCATCAGCTCGTAGTACTTGAGCGGCGCGGCGCTCAGCGCGCGGACGGCTTCCTCGCAAAGCTCCGCGCACTCGGCGAAGCGCGGGTGCGCCGCGTCCGCGCGTAGCCAGACGCGGTAGATGCGGAATTGCTCGAGCGCGACGGGCAGCACGAACTGCAGGTTCAGCTGCCGGCTTTGCGCGGCGTCGAAGCCGCTCAGCGAGTCGAGCAGGCTGCGCTCGCTCGCGCGGAAGTTGAGCAAAAAGTAAGTGAAAACGGAGCGAAACGCGGCGCCGCCAAGACTCATGGCGCGCAAACTGTGCGAAGGCGCGCTGCGCAAAATCCGCAAAAAGAAATTATCGCGCAAATTAGCGTCGGCGGCGTGCCCATCTTCGCAGCGAACGTAAGTGTTGCGCGCGGCGAGCAGTTCACGGGCGAGCGCCCGGCTTCGCGCGCGAGCGAGTGCGAACGCGACGAGTTCACGCCGCTGCAGCTGAGCGGCGGGAAGGTGAGCGTCACGCACCTCTCCTCGTTCAACTGGTGCGCGCTGCGGCTCTACTATCAGCTGCGCACGCGGCGGCGCGTCGAGACGGAGGCCACGACGCGCGGCGTCGCGCGGCACAGCGAACTCGAGGCGCAGTCGCACGCGCTGGTCGCGGTGGACGTCGCGACGGACGAGGAGGTGCTCGGGATCAAGCTGCTGAACACCGGCAACATGATCCGCGAGTTACTGCTCGAGCGCGGCTGGGCGCGCGAGTTCTGGTTTGCGCTGTACTTGCCCGCGGGCGTAGTGCTGCGCGGTGTTGTTGACGAAATCTGCCGGCAGCCGAACGGGCGCTTTCTGATCAAGGACACGAAGACGCGGCCAGCGCGCTCGCTGCCGCACATCGCGGCACAGCAGAACACGTACCTGCAGCTCTGCGTCTACCACTACATGGTCACGCAGCTCGCGGCGGCCTCTCCGCGCGACGCGGGCTGGGAGCGGTTCTTCGAGCTGTACGAGTGCGACCCGGCGCGGCCACTGGCGCACGAAGCGTTCGGCGCGCTGCGCAACCTGTGGGATGTGCTCGAGTTCTACCTGGCGCAGATCCGCGCGATCGCGGCGCTTGAGCCATTCGTGCGCGTGGAGTACGACTGCGCAGGCGAACTGTTCGAGGTGGTCGACGCGCCGGTGGAAGCGGGCTACGCGGAGCGCAGCCTGCACCGCGTGCTGCCCTGGTGGCAGGGCCGGCAGCCGACGCCCGTGCCCGACGCGACGGAGGCGCGCAAGTGCCGCCGCTGCGCGTTCGTGGACATTTGCGCGTACTGCCCGCTGCGCGGCGCGGAGTACTGCGCCGCGGTCGCGGAGGCCGCGCTGGAGGGCGCGCTGCTCGAAATCGACTAAATTCGAAAAATATTACGAGATGCGCGAGGTGGCCAGACTCGCAGACGCGCTCGCCGGCGCCGTACCGGTCGCGCGCCGCACCGAGGACCGGCTGCAGCGCTTCCAGCTCGCGGTGCTGTTGGACTTCGCGTGTCTCGAGCTGGTGCACACGGGCCGCGGCGCGCACGAGCTGCTGAGCGCGCAGTCGCCGCGGAGGCTCGTCGCGGAGTACGTCGCGCGCTGCGCGACCGAAGAGCTGCGGCCGGACATCGCGTACCAGTGCCTGGTTGCGTGCCAAGGCTCCGCGCTGAACCGGCTGGGGCTGCTCGCGGTCTTCGTGCGCACGCAGCAGCGCACGCTGCTGCAGGTCTCGCCGGAGCTCGCGCCGCCGCGCTCTTTCGTTGAGTTCAGCGCGCTGGTTGCCACTGCGCTACTGAAGGGCGCGGTCTACGGTGCGAAGGGCGGCGGCGCGCTGCTGCGCGTCGCGAAGAGCGACTTGAGCTTTCTGCCGGCGAACTGCGTGAAGCTCGGGCTCGAAGTCGGCGCGCCGCGCTGCGACCTGCGAGCGCTGCTGCGCTCGCACCTGCCCGACGGCTCGCCGCGCTCAGCTAGCAGCGCGCTCGCGCTGGTTTCGCCGCTGCACGCGAAGCTCGCCGCGCTGCAGTCGCTGCGCGCGCCCGCGATGCTCTTCGTGGTCGGCGCGGTCGCGAAGGAGAACCGCGGCGCTTCCGCGTTCAACGGCGTCTCCGAGCGCGACGTCAGCATCGCAGCAGAGCCGCTCTCCGCGGCCGAGTGCTGCCAGCGGCTGCTCGCGGAAGCCGAGGCGTTTTTTCTGGAGATATAGCTTTTTACTGCGCGAGAAATAGCATGAGCGAGCAGGCGCCGCCGCGGCCGCGCGCTCGCAGAATACCTGCGCAAAGAGCGCTTCGTGGCGCAGCACACAAGCGTCGCGCGCGCCGGCGGACTCGAACCGGCGCCGGGCGAGCGGACCATCGACGTGACGCAGGCGCAGATTCGCGCCGCCGCCGCGCGCGACGACTGCGCGCTCGCGACGCGCAGCCGGCTGCAGTTCGGCGGCTACCAAAGCCGATACTCGCTCGACGGCCGCTTCCGGCTGTGCTTCAGCGACCGCGGGCACGCGGCGGTGTTCGACGACCTGCGCGGCAGCGCGGCGCTCGCGCAGACGCACTTGCCGAGCGCCGCGGTGGACGCGGTCTTCGGCTACTCGCACACCATGCTCGCGCTCGCCTCGCCGGACGCAGTGCGCCTCTTCGACGAGAGCTTCCGCGTGCTCGCGGTGCTCGACGCGGAGCGCAACGTTTCGCGGCTCGAGTTTCTGCCGTTCCACATGCTGCTGGTCTCCGCTTCCGCGGAGAGCGCGCGCCTCTGGTGGCGCGACGTCGCGCTCGAGCGCGTCGTCGCTGAGCGCGCCGTGTCGCAGCTCTCGCCGCGCGCCGTGGCGCAAAACCCACACAACGCTGTGGTCTACACCGGCAGCACGCGCGGCGTCGCACAGCTCTGGGTCCCGCGACTGAAGCAAGCCGCGATGAGCTTCGCAGCCGCGGACGCGGAGCTGCTCACGCTCGCAGCGCTGCAGCAGCACTACCTCGTGAGCGCGACGCGCCGCAACGACGTGCTGATTCACGACATCCGCAACGCGCAACGGCCCGTCGCGCGCGTGAAGCTGAACAGCCGCGGGCCCGTGCACCTCGCGGTCAGCCAGACGAATGTGCTCGCGGTCGCGCAGCACGCGCGCGTGACCACGTGGCGCGAGCCCGCGAGCGCCGCGCCGCTGCAGCCTTACCTGCGGCACGCGTACAGCGACGGCTCGCGCGTGCTGAGCCTCGCGTTTCAGCCGTACCGCGACGTGTTGAGCATCGGTTTGTCGGACGGCGTCGAGCAACTCCTAATACCCGGCGCGGGCTTCGCGCGGCTGGACTTCCGCGACCGTAACCCATACCTCACCGCGCGCCAGCGCGCAGAAGCATACCGCGCCGCCGTCGCCGAAAAACTCCCGGCCGATTTCATCATGATCGACCCCTCGCAGTTCGGCGAGCAATAAGCCCAAGGAGGGAATCGAACCCTCGACCTTTGGTTTACAAGACCAACGCACTACCACTGTGCTACCAGGGCTGCTCGATTGCCGCCTGGCGCGCCGCGCGGGCGCCGGCTGGGCCGCGGCGGGTGCACAGTGTCACTGTCAGGGCGTTTAGCTCATCTGGTAGAGCGCTCGCTTCGCATGCGAGAGGTACTGAGTTCGATTCTCAGATCGTCCATTTTAGCCTCGCGACGTCCACTGGGCCCGTGCGCTGCTGCCTAAATCTAGCTAGGTTGCTTGGTCTAGTGGTATGATTCTTCGTTCGGGTCGAAGAAGTCCTGGGTTCGATTCCCAGAGCAACCCTTTATTTCTTTTTTCTTTTCGCCATGACTGCGACGTACGACAAGGAGCACTGCCACTTCTGCCCCATCGGCGGCGCGCTCGACACCTTAGAGCAAGTCAGTGTCGACGCCACGCGCCACGATTTCACGAAAAACTCGGTCTTCGTGGGACTCGACAGTGCGCAGACCGCCTGCGCGGCGCACCGCGCCCAGCTGCGGGACGCTTATGTCTGCGAGTACGTCACGCGTCGACAGTTCTTCACGCCCGAGGAAATTCTCGAGCAGCTCGAGCAGCCCGCCGCGCAACACAACCCGCTGCTGCTGCGCAGCATCTACAACGTGCACACCAGCTACCTGCTGCACACGCCGTCCGGCGTGCTAGACCTCGCCACGGTCGACTGGGCGGAACTCGAACCGAACCTGTGCCGCAAGCTGCAGTTCCTAATCTCTGCGGGCCGCGCCGCAACCTCCGACGACTGCGAGACGACCGTCTTCGAACTTCGCGCGGACGCGCTGCTGCGCGACTTGTCCGCGCCAGAGTCGCGCGCCTGCGAACTCTGTGGCGCCACGACGAACGTCTGGCTGAACCTCGCGGACGGCTTCATCGGCTGCGGCCGCGTGCAATACGGTGCGGAGCCTAACTCCGGCTGCGCTCGCGCAGGCATCAGCGCCGCGCAGCAGCACTGGCAGAGCTGCGTCGAGAACGGACTCGTGCTGCGGCTAGACTCGGCGGATGCGCCGCCAACCGTCTTCGACTACAACATCGACAGCTACGTAAGCTTCGATAACTTTGCAGACTTCCAGGCCTACGCGTTCGAGGCATTCAAACTCGCGCTAAACGCGCCCCCGCAGCTGGAGCCACGCGGCGAAGAGGAGGCCGGTGGCTTCGTGCTGAAGCATGACTACCTCGCGCGCGCGTCCTCCATCGAGAGCTACCTGCGCAAAGCCAACGAGAGCAGACTGCGCATTCGCGGCATCACCAACTACGGAAACACCTGCTACATCGCCTCCTCGCTGCAGCTCTTGCGTTTCGTGCTCGCGGGCGTCGCGCTGCCGCGCGCGGACCCCGAGAGCTTCGTCGGGCCGCTAGCGGAGCTCATCACCTACCTCGACTCCGGGGCCTACTACCCCGAGTCCTGGACCTATTATCAAACACACCGCAAGCGCTACTCGCTGCTCTGCGAGCGCATTGCGCAGGCCGGCTGCGCCGACGCTGACAGCGTCGAGCAGTCCGAGACCAGGAAGCGCCGCAACAAGTGCGACTCAACGCTCCTGCCGCAAGCCAACGACGCGGACTCGGCGAGCGACGACGAACCCGCTTCCGCGCTGCAACGCTTTCGGCAGAACTTCGACGACACCGACGTGCAGTTCGCCTACGGTTCCGCGAACATCGAGCGCTTCTGGGCGAAGATAAACCAGATTTGCGACGAGTTCACCACCAAGACTCAGCATGACGCAGCCGAGTTTGTCCTCGGCGTGCTCAGCAAGCTCGACGACCTCGAGCGCGGTTGCCTCTACCAGCGGGTCCAGGTCAACCGCGACCTGCACATGGTGCACCTGATCTCGAAGCACGGCCGCGTGCTCGACGAGTACACGCTCGCCGACTTCGAGTCAGACCTGCGGCACATCACCAACGAGCCCGAATTCTTGCTGCTGCACCTGAACCGCATCTACGCCAGCTACCACACCGGCGCCTTCAGAAAGATCCACGCGCCGTTCCGCATTCCGCTGCGCGATCTCGCACTCGAGGACGTGCCGCGCGAGCCGGTGACCAGCGAGTCCAGCGTCGCAGCGCGCTTCTTCCTCGACCCCGTAACCGACCTCGGCTTCGACATCGACCTCATCAAGAAGGCTCTAGCGGACCTCGGCATTGAGCGCGACTCCGACGACTGCGCGCCGCGACTCGTCGAAGAGCTGCTGCGCCGCGAGGCGGCAGACCCCGCCGTCGCGCTCCACGTCGCAGAGCTGCACACGCTTGGCTACCCACTCGAGCACTGCCGAAAAGCGCTGCGTGTGCACGAGTACGACGTCGCTGCTACGCGCAAAGGACTTGCAGCAAACTGCAAGCGCTACGCGCCGAGCACCGCGCCGCCCCCAAAGGTGATCCGCGCGCCGAAGCAGCGCTACCGGTTGAAGGGCTGCGTCATCCACTCCGGATTCGACCTGAACTACGGACACTACTATGCGATCCTGCGCGTTGGCGAAGAGTGGTTCATCGCAAACGATAATTCCGTGCATCAAGTCAAAGAGCCCACAGCAGAAATCGCAAACTGCACAATCGCGCTCTACGAGCGCGAAGTCGCCTAGCCGCTTTGCGCGAGCGCCGCGAAATGGCGCTTCGCCGCGCGCAGCGTACCGCTTGCGCCGAGCACTGCGGGCGTGACCTCCAGCGCGCCGACACGCTTGAGCAACACGCAAGAGCTCAATAGCTGCGGCGCGTCTTCCGCCTGCGTCTGCAGCAGCAGAAAGCCGTGCAGCCCTGCCCAAGCAACAACTTTGAGCGAATCGCGAGCGCGTCCCGCGCCCAGCAGCCCCCACGCTGCGGCGTGCGTCTCGAGCAGCGCGCGGTACACGTCTTTTTCCGTGAGCCTCGCTAGCGCGAGGTCCGCCGTCGCGCCCGAAAGCAACATCCTTTCGGTCAGAAGCCGAACCGTCAACCAGCGGTGTTTGACTCGCGGCATGCTACAGTTCGCGGCGACACGTCGCAACTCCTAGTTGAAATGCATAGGCACCGGTTCGCCTAATTTTACGTAGTGAATATCAATAATTTTTTCGAGCGCCGGCGCGCCCCGTGCGCACTGTGCGCGCGATGAGCTCGGAAAACTAGGCGCATCCCCCGCTGCGCCAATTCGCGCGCAGCTCCCGCGTGAACAGTTCGGCGGCGTGCAGCTCGCAGCGCATCCCGGCTGCGCGCACCGCTGCGTCGTCGCGCCTTGCGGTCTGCTCTGTGCACGCAGATGCTGGAAGCCCAGCGGACACTTTCCCTGCACAACTGCGCGCAGCCCCTGTTGGAAGTGAAGGCGCGCGCGTTCTGCGCCGCCGCACTCGTCCGAAGCGCAGTTTTTTCGCATAGCGCGAGTCAAGCACTGCAACCCCGCTATGCCTGCGTCGCAGCAGCTGCGCGCCACTGCGCCCGTGACAGAACCAGCATCCACACTTGTCTGGAAGATCTTCCAGGCAATTTGCTTGTCCTTCTCTGAAACCCACTCGAAAGCCATAAGAATTAATGTTTTCCGGGATGCGCGTGCAAAAAATGTGACCACACTTTCTCAAGCAGCGCTCTCACTTCCGTTTTCCGAGTCGCTACTTGACGAGTAGTCCGCGAGCACCATGTCCGCGCGCAGAGCCGCAGATTCTTCGCGCGTCGGCGCCTTCAGCGGCACGTCCGCACGCTGCGCTGGCGTCGCGTCGAACTGCTCTAAACGCTGCGCAACCAGCAGCGCATCGGCCGTCGGCCCGCGCCGCCTAAAGAGTCCGCCGGCTTCCGACTTTGCGAGCGCTTTGCGCAGCCGCAGCAGACTGAACAGCTTTGTGACCGCGTCGCGGTCTCGCGCCGAAGAACGCGTGATTTGAAACTCTGGATCCAGCTTTTCCTGCTCGAGAATCGTCGCGAGGTCGTTTTCGAGCTTTTTTTGCGCCACGTTGCGGTCGAACAACCGCTTCGCGCCGCAGCGGATCACATAGTCCAAATTCTTCGGGTCTGTGACCAACCGGATGTGATTCTGGCAGCCGCTGCACTTGCCGTCGATCGCGTGGATCGGCAGTCCCAAATAATTTTCTTCGCGGATCTTGAACACGCGAGCGTTGTACTTGCTACCCACGAACATCACGTGGTTGCACTTGCTGCAAGCTAGCGTGAACGGCCACAACATGCGAATCTCCAGAGAGCTGCGCTTCTGCCGGTTCCGGTTGCGCTCCTTCAAGTTCTTAATCGCCATGTACTTGTTGCGGTACTTAAACATGTCGTTCGGGTCGTAGTCTGGCGAGAGATACTTCTGGCCGTCGCTCGGGTCCGCCATGACTGCTCAGTGTGCGGCGTTCCAAATATCGCTTTCGCGGCGTCGCTCTCAGTTTCTCGCTCTGCGCACAAAGCGCTCCGCGCTTTAAGGAAGTTAGCAGCCGCGCGTCGAGCAGCTCTCCAAACTGCGTCTTTATGCAGTGCTTTTTAAGACCGCTATTTCAACGCATTTTTTCAGCAAAACAATTTTCGGCTCAAAGCACAGGCCCGCGAGAGTCGGAAGATCGCGTATTTTCACCGCAACAATTTTCGCACGCAACTAGTATAGCTGCGCACTTGCCGACAGATTGCGAGCCGATGAACAATGAGCAGTGGCTGTCTAGCTTGCTTGCCACGAAAGCCGAGAGTAGGTCGCCGCGCACGCTACGCAGCTGAAATCAAACGTAATGTAGAACAGTTGCTGCCGCGCTGCGGTGCGCTGCCCGACTCGCTGAAGCTCGACGTCGCAAAGTTGCGCGCGCTGCACATAGCGCTCTGTGAGGAGAGCAAAGGGAGAACGAGGCCCGAACGTGACGCTCATCGCAGAGACAACGCTCAGTCGGATCTCGCTACAGCACCAGACGACTGCTAGCAAAATTCTGCGCAGCGACAAGTAGGCGGTCCCACCTGCGCGGCACGAGCTCGGTTGCGGCGCCAAAGTGTGCGCGGCCCTGCGTCGCGACCACCGTGCATATGCGCTCGATCTCACGCAACGCCGCGACGTCCGCGCCGGCTCTGACGAAGGCCGCGTCGGGCG